TTTGATCTACACTTTTAAATTCATAAATTCATCATTTTTAAAAAAGTCTGACTAGTCTGGCTCGTATAATCCTATGACGAGTCTAATGATATGATCAAAATATGATCGGTATGACCAAAGTCCGACCGTATGACCAAAGTCTGATCGTCTCATCAAAGTATCATCGGTTTGACCAAAGTCTAACCGTCTGACCGATTTTAAAAATGTGTTATATGAGATTATTATATCATATTAACACTTTTAAAATGATAAATTCATCAATTTTTAAGAAGTCTGACCGTCTGACCAAATTCTGACTGTATGACTAATGTCTGACCGTCTTATCAAAGTGTGTTTGGTATGACCATTTTTACACGAAAAATAAAGGTCTAAATTAAGTTTAAACGATTCAAAAAGTTGTATAAGGATTACAAGAATACATTTCATCGTTTTGGTGATCTAATTCCATGTATAAAAAAATCTCTTAACATAAGTCATATTCACTCAAAGTGTGACCGACTGACTAAATTATGAACGTCTGACCAAAATCTAATCGGTATGACCAAAGTCTGACCGATATGACCAGTATGACGTTTTAAGAGCCAAAATTTCTCTGAGGATTTTTATCGAACACTTTCCATGCATTTCAAATTCTTCAACTTTGAAATGTCAGATCTCGTCATAGTAGAGAAATATGTCGAGTATAAGACGAAAATTGAAAAATTTGTTGTTAGAATCGCCAACGAAATCTCTTTGGAGAGAAAAAGAAAAAAATGCGTTTTGAATTTTTAAAAAAAAGTGAGAGAGTAAATTTTCCGAATGTTTTATTTTCATTATATAAAGAGTTGCCACGTATTCAATTTTTTAAGGGCAAACTAGTCTTTTCATCATTTTAGTTTTTTTTTTGAAAACCCTAAACCTAGAAGGTTATCCCTTGAAGTCAAGATAGACATTTGGGGTTATTTTTGCAATTTTGCCACTAGAAATGCCACGTGGAATAAAGTGACTGGAGGATAGCATGTGGGCTGAGCAGCGAACCATGTCTGTCAAAAATTCCCTTGCATTATATAACGCCTCTATATTTAACGTTCCCTTTCCACAAAATATACATATACACACACACACACACAAATAATGATGCGATTTGAAAAAATGTGATTATTTAAATTTGGTGCAACAATTTACCGAATCCAAAAGAATATTGCAATTCACTTGATTGCCTTTGGAATGATGTTTTTCACATTGGTCTTGTCATATGCGGGAGGTCAAAGGGGGAAATTGTATAACAATTGAAATCTCGTTTTAATTTACACAAATTTGAGTAAATTTACAATATACTATTTTGTAACTATTTTTATACATTAATAATATATCTCATTAGTTTATTATAGATATATTTATTTATTAATTCCTTGATATAATGTAATACTTATATGGATTGGATATGTTTTGCAGCGGTTTTTATTCGGCTCCGAATAACTATAACCGGAATTAAAATAGTTAATAATCGGACTATAATCTTCATTCAGTTGAAATCGCCTACCAAAGTTAGAAAAATCATTGGTAGATACATAACATATAATATGATTCTAATTTAAAAAGAAACCGGAAACTACCAACATGAAAACATAATGGATTATAGTCATTTCATCTTGAAATTTTTTTAAAAAAAAAAACATACGTTCCTATGGTATGGCAATGACAAAATTATATATCCTAAATTATATATATATATATATATATATATATTATATATTAAAATCCAAGGATGGTATATTTTGTTCGCCCCACTTTTGTGCGGTGTGGGTTGGGTTTCAATGCTCCACATTTATTATTGGCTGAGCTGCATTTTCATTATTTTTATCGCTTTTTTCTTTCCAATTATTCATATTTGGAACTTTTAGAAATTATTTACGCTGCATTTTGTCTATATAAAGTAAGACTGGGATTTGTCGTTTAATAAGATTTCACACGAATATACGGCCCAACAAAGAGTTTATCTTTTATTTATTATTTTTACGTTACCAAAGTGTCAATTTTTGGTTATCAAAAGTCAGTGGTCAAAACGACTTTATTCCGGTCTTCTCTAATGGCTGCCCTCAAACTTCAAATTCAATTTGCACAATTCGAGAATATATATTATATATATATATATATATATATCTGTAAACATTCTACAATTACAAAAGCCCAGCCAATTATTTAAAAAAGCCCAGCCCAGATATCATTAAATATGGGAGTCATTCCAATGAATGGGCCTGTTTCTTGAGAAAAGCTTAAAACCTCTTGAACTGGAACGCGACGCGGACGCAGATGCGGACGCAGATGCAGACGCAGACGCAGACGCAGACGCAGACGCCACACAAGCTGTCGCGGCGCTTATACACTGTAAGAGTGGACCGTTATATTTATTCGGTCAGGGTTAATTTAGATTCATTTATTTTAGATTTTAAACGGAGTGAAATAATTTTTTTATAATTTAATAACTTATAGAATAAGAAAAAAAGGGGCAAAAGTGTAAACATTTCGTACAAAAAAGTAGGGAAAAAAAACACGAAATAAAGAAGATGCAGAAGAATGTGCATGGAGATGGTTTGGCAGGGAAGAAAGAGGGCAGGTGCCACGTGTCAGAAGAGAAGACCCACGGGAATTTTGACAGCTAAGCTATTATATGTCCCCTGGGAAAGGCCCAATAGGCTTTAAGCCTTTATCCTTAAGCAACGTGAGCCCCACAATCACCCGCATATTCGACCCGACCCGAGATTCGTTAACCCAACTCAAAACGCAGCTAGAATTTAGGTATATATAATAATGTTTCCATTTTTTTTTAATTTTTTTGAGCACAGACACATAATCGGGTTTATTTTTCGAAATGTTTAAAAGGTGCGACTGCGACTACGGGTGGCCATTTCCCGTTCAAGGTCGGTTCGGTTATATTTGGATTCGATTATTTCAATTATAGAAAAACTATAACCATTCGATTTTTACATAAATTTCGGTTCGATTCGATCCGGTTATTTTTCGATTCGGTTCGGTTTAAACCGTTAAAAAACTTATTTTTTCAAAGAAAATCGTCGGTTTTTTTTGTTATTTTCTTATTCAATTCGGTTTGGTTCGGTTTCGGATTTAAGAAAATCAAAACGTTCGATTTTGATGTCGGGTTCAGTTCGGATACGGTTATATCTTATTTGGTTCGATTCGATTCGGTTAATAACTAAAATGATCATCCCTAATTGCGTAAAAAATATACAAAAAATGCCAAATACCTAATGGGATTAAATTAGTTTGGAATCGATGATAATAGTTTTCTGATGGCTTTCCCCGATTGACGTTTTCATAGGAGGATCGGAAAAAATTCTAAATATCTCATAGAATTTCGGCACTTAATACTTACAAAAATCATATATATTTATATATGTGGGTATATATTCATATTTTTCAAAACAATTGCATAGATGTTCATAAGAAAAAGGAAAATGAAATACAAAGCAAATAAGATAAAAAAAAATAAAATCATTCTTTTATTATTAATTTTCCCACTGGTCAGAGTCGGAAAGACAAAAGAGGAAGAGTAATTTTCGCAAGCAAAAAACAAAATCAAAACCCTAATCTTCTCCTTCTTCTCCTTCGTCTACGGCAAAAAGCCAAACAAAAAAAAAAGGCATATACTCTTATGTCGGCCATTAATGGAAGCTCTCCGACACCGATTCCATGGGACACGAACCAAAATCTCTGTCCCAGAATTTTCTTAGAACCCTTTTTTTTTTTTAAACCCAAACTGTCTTTCCTTCACCGGATCAAATACTGTACCATTATCCATATTCCTAGTTTCACTATTTATAATCTACTTTCAGACACTTCTTTACCCCAAAACACCCATCAAATCCAGATCCAGACACCAGAATAATTCAGTAAGACCAGTCCGAGGGTAACCGGAGTTCATTCGATATCACCGTTTGCTGCTCCATCCTCATTCCCCCTCTCTTTTGACCCGAGACCCCGCCATTGTTGCTCCTGAACCTCATCGAGGCATCTGCAGATTCCGAACAAAGCAGACATTAGAACAGTTCTGACAAATCGAAGAAACGGAGACTGATTTTGACTTTTCTAACCATTGACACACGCCGCCTGAGATTCGAAGCGAGGCAGCACCTTCGCTTGAGCCACCGAGTCGTCCAGGTTCAGATTCAGGGCTTGAGCTACTCTCGCCGGAACCAACACCGTCGAAAGAGCTGCCAAACTCAAAATTATCAGCAAAAATACGATGAAGAAAACATTCGAACCACATTTTTAAAAAAAGAAACATAAAGTGGAAAGCGGAACTTACTCTGCTTCTTAGGTGTCTCGGTGGAAGCGGGGATTACATGGCGAGGCAAGAAGACTCCGGTGCCGGTCGACCCACGTTTTCTGGTCGGGTTGCCGAGGAAGACGGCCCGCATACCCGAACCATCATTGGGCTGCTGTGAGTGTTGCCGACCAGGCCATGCAGATGGCGAGAGCCCCACAGAACGGATGTTGTTGTTGACATTAACCCTTTCTCTGTTCTGCATCACGTGCCGGCGCTTCATCATCTGCTGCTGCTTCAGCTGCTGAAACTGTGCCCAAACATAGAAACCCAGAGACTAAGAGATCGGCTTAATTGAAATTTAAACAAGGTGAAGCAGAGCATAGATTTGGTTTAATTTACTTGGATGGCTTGGAGCTTCTGGGAAGGAAGGGAATGATGATTGTAGTAACCAGAGCCGATGTTTGGGTATTTGGCCGCGACGGGTACGGGCGATGGCTTTCTGGGCGGACCGAGAAGCCCTCTTCCGCCATGATCGAAGCCGTACAGCTCGCTGTCGATTTTCATCCTGTTCATTTCTTCGGCCGCGGAACAGAACAGATCCCATGCCGCCGCAGCTGCCTGAGAAGTGACTCGAGACTGGCAGGTACGGGCCGATTGCTGCCGGCAACAGCAGAGGATTTCGCCGTTACAAAGTGTCGATTCCGGCGAGCCTGAGTGACTCCACCCCTGAAAATTACCCAGTAAAGGGCAATGAGCCAGAAAATTCTCGAAATAGACGGAGATGGAAGAGACCATAAGAAACAGAGAGATTCCATTCCATCACGAATACCTTGTTGTTGTGAGGCCGGAATTTGTATTGGTCGCAAAATCTGCCGGAGAAATCGTCTTCCAAAGTAGAGTGAGCCATCTGGCGGGTCAAGCCAGCTATGTAATTCTCCTCGTCGCTTTCCGTCTCCGTTGAGCCAAAGAGAGACTCAACTGAAGACCCGAGGCCCGAATTCAACCGGAGAGACCCGAACCCGTAGCGCGAGTCACACGGGTGAGAGAACTTGGACCCACCATCTTTCCCGAACCTAAACCCCAACGCATCGCCGTTGTCGATGCCCTTGAACACCTTGTTCTCCTTCTCCAAGAGAAAGTCCTCGTCAGTGAGAAACTCCGGTGGAAGACAGAACTCGCCGTCATCGAGTAAGGTCGGTTCCATCTTCAGAAAACCACAAAATCCAAATGATATTTTAGAGCAAAAGGGGACCGAAACGGCAAGAGAAAAGACCGCGAGAAAATCAAAGAAATGGGTGTGGGGCTTTAATGGCGGAGCTTGCTGCTTGCTTAAGGATCATTAATAACTACAACCCTCGAATTTCTTATAAAGAGATCTCAGGGCCCCAGCGAAAATCCAAAAGAGAAAAACAAAAACAAAAAACCCTAAAATCTCAGAGATTGAGAGACTTGAGATAGAGACGACTCGGATGGATGGTGAGGTATTTGTAGATGGAGGAAAAAAAAAAGTGAGAAGACGAGGTGGTGAAAGGTGGTAGTGGTGGGGGAACCGTCAGGGCTTATACTCCACGCGCTGGATTGACGACTGAGGTCCACGCGCATCGGCTTAGTGGGCCTACTGCTAGGCCATGTAAGGTAATGGCAGGTATGTTTGTGGGGCCCATATGGAAATCTCTAAAGCAGATTGGCTAGCACGTGACAGGGGCAAATATGGAATTTCCACTCCTGTTCAGGGCACGTGCCTGACGAAATTCCATGAATTGCCCTCCCTCCAACTGAAGATTTACGTAGAAAATAATGGTTAGCTTTACCGTACGTTTAACCGCGTTTCCTTAAATGGTGATCTCATAAGTACGTTAAACACATTCAAGGTGATTAGTCAAAATGTAATTATTTTTTCAAATTAAATTGGCGGTTTGTAAAGGAAATTACCGTTGACCTACGAAAACATAATTTTTATTATATGCATGAACGTTATTTTATAATATATACATACACATGATTATACGATTTAAGATATATAGGGTTATTTTGGTAATTTGCAGGACAAATCGGTGTTTCTGCGTCGTGGGATTGATAACGGTCCCCAAACAAAAAAAAAACAAATATCTCAACCGCGATGCATGGCTGTGTGGTGACGTGGCATAAACACGTGTCGTTATGTGATTAGCCTCATACATGTAGTGGACGGACATTTGTCTCATCTGATACCCACTTGGCATACGCGGGAACGAGATGTGATTCTTCGCTTACAACTTATTCCTCATTTCCAACTATTTTTTAATGTAAATAAACCTGTGAATATTTTTTTTCTCATATCTTTTATATATTGTGAATATATTTATATAATATACTAATAATATAGCAACAATCATTTTAAATAAATTAGTGGCCATGAACTAAAAGAAGTGGCACAAAGTCGTTTATACCACACTTTAATTGTATCATATGATTTTTAATGTTTTTAAAAATATTTTATTCGGGCAATACAATTTTCTATATAAGGAATCGTGTCTATAATTTTTCTTTTAAAATATAAACCTAGGGCGACCGGTCATCACCACACATTTATGGGTGAGTGTTTGCGATTTTCAGTGATTACGAACGATTAAAAAATTAATTGGTTAAACCGTAATTATCTAGAATTATAATTAAATTTAAAATATCCTGTCGAAAATTTCAATTTCAATTTTGGTTACGATTTTCAATCGTTTAGACAAAAAAAAACTAAAATATATTTATTAAAAATATAAAAAGAGTAATAATTATATTTAATATTATAATTTTTAAGTTTACTAATAATTATTTCAAAATCTTTTCTTTAATCAATTTAGTAAATAGTTTTTATGAAATGATAATAAAAATTCAGTTACAATTATTTTCAGAAATATTATATTATAATAATGTATTTTCAGTAATTTACATCAGATCACAATAACAACTACGGTCAACAAGTCACTTTCAATCATAACAACTTTTAATCGCAGTTAAAAAATAATTCATCAACTAATCACTATTAACCGTCTTTAATCACCATCAAACACTTTAAAAACGTCCGTCACTCGTAACTGTAATCGCAACAATACAAGATAGGGATCTCTCGCAATTCAAACGGCTAGTTTAACAAATAGTAATAATTAGATTTGTCATTACATGTTGATTATATTATCACCCCACAAACGTAACATACAACCAAATTTGTTTTGTTGTCACTTCAAAACGAGGGTTTCGTGACAAGCAATGGTAACTACGTTACTAGTAACAATATAATAAAAAAAATAGAGAAAATAAAATATTTTATAAAGATAATATAAGTAATAAAAAAAATCTATAGAAATATGATATGATATATTCCGTACAGCCAATAGTAAAATGCAATAAACGTTATCGAATTACAATGGAGATTAATCTTGATTTTTTTCCATTTTGTTCTATTCATTTTTTATTTTTTTTATTGCTCGTATTTTCGTATTTAAATTATTTAATTTAAAATATTATATAAATTTAAATTTTATGTCGAGTTTTTTCATCTAGTTTAATCTAGTTTAATTCCTTTAAATAAGAATGTTTATGTCACAAAAAAATAGAAGTTTCGTTCATCTTTATTCATTATTTTTATAGTCGTTTTGAATTTAATCTTTATTTTTAAAATAGTTTATATTTAATCAATTTTTATATCAAATATATTTTATATGATATATATATATATATTATTTGGCTTGATTTTGTAAATATGAGATAATGATATAAATCATTGTTACGACGAATTGTGGATAATTTCTATTGAGAGTAACCTTGTGTCGGCCATGCTGAACAAGGAATGTTACCGAATAAAATTACAAAATAGATGAAATGAAGGAAAAAAAAAACATTATTTATTTTTAGAAAGAGAAGAAAGGAAAATAATCGAGAGACAGAATTTACACGAAGAAGGAAATTGCGTGATGAAGACAAAACTACTCAAAAGCATTCATGTTCGCTGCCAAAAAGCCTGTCTCTTCTCGCTTTGTCTCTCCTCTTTTACTGCCCTCTTACACACAAGATCACTGTCATTTTGTGTCTTTACCCTTTGGTTAAAAATTTGTTTTTACTTTAATACCGAAACGGGTAAACGAACACGGGAATAACCGTGAGCGATCGGTGGGTTTTTATATCGGGGATTCGGTTTTAAAATTTTAATTTTAGTTTTTTTTATAGGGAAACTTTTTATAGTTTTATAAAAATTATATTTAGTTACTTTTTATATTGATTTTGAATTCATTTGCATTACATTTAGATTCGTTCAATTTAATATTTAAAAATACTTTTTCTTCGATTATTTTTATTTTGGATCTAATTTAATTTTAAAAAGTTTACTTACAAAGAAATTTTAAAAAAATCAGATTAAATTACGCATTATTTAATTCAATTTTATTTAGATTTTTTTTATGTCTTAAAATCTATAACTAATCTTTGAAAACATAATTATCAAAAAAATAGTTTTATAAAATTATTTTACATATACATACTTAATATCATTTGCGGATATTGGATTTAAATTTTAGATATCGATTTACTAGAAAGAGTCTTATACACTTTTATTTTTGTAAACTCATTACAAAAATGTATACTTCAATAATTATCATAAAAAAATGGTTGAGGAAATGCTTTTGAATTTAATAGGAATTTTACAAAAATAAAATAAAAATAAGTAACTGTAAATAATAAGTTAATAATTACAAAACGAAGGGCCATGGTACACTATCCGATAACATTGTTGTCTAAAATATGTGGGTTTTTTTCTTCCATTTTATAAATAATATAACGTTTAGATTTATGGGACGTGGCAATAAAGACGGTGGCGGTGGTAACGGCCGTTAGTGTCTGTTATCGTTATGACGGCCGTCGCTTTCCGAGGGATAGAATAATTCGACGGCGTTGTCGTTATCCGCCGGCGATTGGGCGGCGTGTCCCTCGTGGACGCGACACCCCCTCCATTAACTCCGTTGAATAGACCCTCACACGTCCATTTATAATCAAATTATTTAAAAATAACAAAAAATAGAAATAAACAATTAATATTAAAGTTGGTAAAATTAATAAAACAAAGTAAAAAATTGCGGAATAATGTTTTTTAATCAATCTCAAAATAACATATAAATAGATAAAAGATTTATATTAAATAAATAAAACAGATATAATAATAAATATTTTGAAATATATATTTTTTAGATTTGATAAGATCTCCATTATACGATATATCTTGTAATATTTTTCAATATCCGATATATCTCAACAACAACCATCGATATAATTTGAAAACATTTTAGTTTTTCAAAGTTATTTGATCCCACTCATATACAATTATTTTTAAAATATAATTTGAAGTCGTGAATTTTCAATACTAATATAATTACATGTTTAATTTTGATGTTGTATATAATTTCTTTAGTTATTTTTCAAGCTTGTTCTAAGATGGGGATTGTTAAATAGTAGCAAACAAAAACAAAAACTATTAAAATTATAATTCAAACGCAAAAGAAATATAGATTTAGATTGCATATTTGAAAATTCAGGTTATTTAATAAGAATAATAAATCTGAATTTATAGATGATATATTTTTATCATCCATGAACTACTGAAAAAAAGTGTTTGCTTTGAAATCTATAAATAATCCATGGGTTACTTTTTGCATAATTTATATGTGTTTATGGATTTTTCTTTTTATTATATTTATTTATCATGTATTACGTATCGGTTTTACATTGAAAATTGGTCGGAATAACCCAAATTTTGGTGGTCTAATGGTGAGAGAACATGCAAAACATGCTCTCATCCTGAGATCAAACCCAAATGTGGAGAGGGGTATTCACATGGGCTTCCTCGGTCCTCTGGGAGATGTAGTCGGGCAAAGACCTGGTGAATTTCCGGATTATCAAAAAAAAAAAATTGGTCGGAAGCACTTTGTGCCGGACACAGAATACGTGGGTGTCGGTGCCCGTGTTTTTTTAATCATAAAACTCGACGAGATTATCTATTTCACAAATACGATTCAAATACGGTATTTTATAAATATTTTTGTTATATTAAAATATATATTTTAAAAGTACTTGTTAAAAATATTAATTCTATTTATATAGATCTTCATATGTCAAACCCATTTTTCACATGGGCTCACCACCATCACAGGACACAAACCTTTGACCAATTATTTTTTGTATTTGTTTTAAATTTTTATCACTTATACATGACTTGTTTGGATGGGAGTGGAATCCACATAGGCTCTTAATGCTTCACTGCAGCTTCTATTCCCAACCACACAAACACAACCAATAACCATATTATTAGGGTCTTCCTTTGTTTCCTCTTTTATTATTATTATTATTATTATTATTATTATTATTATTAGGGTTCTTCCTTTGTTTCCTCTTTTTATTATTATTATTATTCACCTATTCCTTATTTTTGTTTCTTATTAATCTTCTTGCTCTGCTTTTTTTGCCCAATCATCTTTATTATATCCACCAATTTGGATTCCTATCAAGACATATCATCCCACTTACATATATATAGATATATATATTTGCACGTGTGTGTGTCATGGTTCATGCTCAAAATGCTTTGGCCCATCTGTGTTTATCACATAGATATCCAACATGTGGTAATAAGAAATGTATATATATATATATATATGTCTATGTAAAAAGAGCATATATATATATATATGCATATGTATCTCATGTAACATTTTAGTGTTTGACCGTATTTCGAAGATCTAGATAATAAATACGGAACATATATTATTATTGAGAATAACATATATATTAATCAGATAATCTGAATCCATGTCCGGTACGAACTCCGACCCCCGAATCTGGAATAGAGCCACAAAACACGGTTATAGTTATGAGTTGTAATGTTCTTTAATATCGTAAACGGTAAACCTTCAGTACTTTATTGTTATATAATTTATGATTATATAGTTGGATCGCGCATGTTGTCGTCACGTGCTCTTCACATGCAACATGCATAGGCACCAACTATCTACGAAACTTTTTACACACACGCATATATACATGCATAGACAGATATTTGCATGTTCTCGTTTGCAATATAAGGTTATTTGCATGTTATTTTTGTTCCCATATTTTTAATTTTATATAAAATTATATATTTTTTTAAAAAAAAAATCGATTTAAATTTTAGTTGGATTTGAGTTTCATTAAAAATATAATTTTATTAATATTTGATTCATAGTTATTTAATTTAGAAAAATCATGCCTATTTCAAAGAAAATTCTATTTGAAAAAAAATATCATTTAGTGCCGTTATTTTGACTATAGTATACATCAACCAAAATCCACTACGGTGTAACCATCTATAAAAATACGAATATTTTATAAAATTTATAACAATTCATTAGAGGGAAATACGGTGATGCCATGGCGAGTATGGGGCATATCATATATACATGCTTATGATAAACTTTTTTTGGTGTTAATTATATAACATGAATCCAAAAATAGAGTAAATTATATTGAAGGCTTATGATATTATTCACATTAATAAAAAAAAAAGAGAGAGAGAGGGAGAGAGAATGATAGCAAAGCCGAACTGTGGCTGTGGGCCAAGAAACAGATTTAGTAACGAGGAAGCATAATCGAGGTACATATTATATAATTAAACAAATCATGATTAGTCATTAAGCCTTTTAAACAGGAAAAAAGGTTTGATCAATTATAATAAAAGCATTTTAGCTAAGCATGCATGGTTTTAATAAATAGATAAAAAAAAACATTATTATGTAATTCGGCAGTGTGTCCTTGATTAACGGGACAGACAGTGGGCTTATTTTTGTTTTTTACGCTTATTCTATTTCATTTTTATGTCATAGTGAGTGACAAAGCATGGGTTGCAGCATTTTCTTTTATACTTTGACCGTAATGTCGTTTTGTCTTCTTCTAGATAATATCATGTATGTATGTATGTATGTATGTATGTATGTATGTATGTATGTATGTATGTATGTATGTATGTATGTATGTATGTATGTATGTATGTATGTATGTATGTAGTTACGTATGTATGTATGTATGTATGTATGTAGATACGTTTATTTTGTTGCTTATTTCGTTATGCTCTGAAGTCTGAACTGATGGATCCGATGCTAATGCTATTATTAAAAATGTTGGATATTTCAGTTTCCAGTAAAAATTTGATTCGATTATTGTTTTGTTTAGCTTTTTAGGTTTTGGAAAAACGATACCATATTTATTCTATTTCAATATTAAACTTGTGTTTCGTTTCAATTTTATTTCATACTCCATTCCATTAAAAAAAATATTTTCTAAAAAACATATTTATTTTTACAATATACAGTGAATTTGGATTAGAGTTTGATATGATCTTAAGAATCAAAAGGTTTGCTAAACTGTATTATGTGTGTCTATTTGCAAATTTGGACCGTTCACGTTTAAGAAATGAACTGTAATAAATGGGCCAAAACTATTACGGGCCCACGGTAATAGAAATGGGCCAACAGTAGACCCAAATATCAGCGGAGCCCATAATTAGGTTTAATAAATATCCTTTTTCGCATAAAAAGTTACACCACCACATTAATATATCATTTTTCTGATTTTATCAACTACGGATATTCGTGATGGTTACTTCGAAATTTGAATTTCCTACTCGTAAAAAAATAAATACAAAATATGGTATCTTTACAAATCCGTCGTTACATTCGAAATTCTAAAAACTGAATACTCAAGTCGAATGTAAAATAAAAATAAAAAAATAAATGCTAATGGAAATCCGCTTGTTTCATGAATAATACATTAAATTAGGTCAAACACATGGATTGTACCTGTCGTCTGTATATATTAAACCATAAATTTGAATATATTAATAAACGCAAACCAGAAGTGTTTTTAATTGCAGATGCATCGATAAACGCATGGATCGTAATTTTGTATTAACTTATAACATTTAAAGCTCAAAACCCTAATCACATCAGATTCAAAGGACGAGGAAGTGCGTACTGTGGAATTATTTTTTCATTTTCCATTTATAATACGAATGTACATATATAATTTATTTATAAATAGCATACTAAATCTAAACTAATAAAAGGCATAACGTAATATTATATGAACAAATCTTTTCCTAATAATAATCTATATAACAGAGGATTAGTTTTTCATTTTCATGCGAGATTCCAAGTTTTTATAATTAGTATTTCTTTTTCTACAGGATTAAACAATCACCCCATTAATAAGTTATAATTTATAAAGGAAAACATTTACTTCAAGTTTTTTTTCTCCTTGTGCCATCCACGAAACTTCCCTCTTCCTCGTCCTTCACAAAGTCTATAAGATTGATCACGTTTCTTCGCAAAATCCGTCTGAAATTCCCTAAACCCATTACGAGAATCCGAAAACCCATCTCGATTTTCTCGGAATCCAAACAACCCAGAAGAGAAAAATGCCAAAGGACAGGAAAATCGGAGTCGCGATGGATTTCTCGGACAGCAGCAAGAACGCACTTCGGTGGGCGATCGAAAACTTAGCCGACAAAGGCGACACTCTCTTCATCATCCACACGAACCCAGACGAATCTTCGAACAAACTCTTCTCCGAATCCGGTTCCCGTAAGTTTTGATCCAATCGAACGGAATCCTTCTGGTTTCTGAGTTTCTGATCTGTCATAAATCCGGTTTGGTTCGGTTTAGATGATTTCTCAACGTGTTGGTTTACTCCGGTTTCGTGCAGCTCTCATACCGTTGGCCGAGTTCAGGGAACCGGAGACGTTGAACAAGTATGGTGTTCAAATTGATATCATTGTTCTTGATATGCTCGATACTGCTTCTAGGCAAAAAGAGGTAACATATACATATACATATACACAAATCTATCTATACGTGTGTTGTATGTGTGTACATATCTAAATTAAACCGCACCCAATCAGATTAAACCGGATTTATACTGTAATAGATTTATTTTTTGGAAATGTTAGATGGGTTTGTGACTTAAATCTAAGAAAAATACACGATGAAGGTGAATATAGTGTCAAAATTATATTGGGGAGACGCAAGAGAGAAGCTGCTTGATGCCGTTGCTGATTTGAAGTTGGACTCTCTTGTTATGGGAAGCAGAGGACTTACCACCCTTCAAAGGTAAAATTAAATTTAATTAATTATCTCATAAACTTTTCAATTTTTCACTCCTGTTTTATTTCAATCTTATTACAAATTTGTTTTATATTTCATATTTTCGTGCGATATATCATTTTAATTTTATATATCGAAAACAGGATAATAATGGGGAGTGTAAGCGACTTCATAATGACGCATGCACCTTGCCCCGTTACCATCGTTAAGGACAGCAGCAGCTCGAACTAAGCCGCTTCTCTCGTAATGATAATAAGTCGTACACGCAATCGCTGTCTTTTTTCTAATCAAAGACGATGCCGTTTTCTTTAGACATAATTATCTTAGATCCGACGTTTCTTTCTGTCTTTGTTGTGTTTTGTTTCTCGTTATTTATTGAAAATAATCCAAAAAACATTTACCGAATTTCGAGATGAATAATATATATATATATATAAGTATAATCCGCGTGCGATATACGTGATTATTTTCATAAAATATGTCACATATCCCAATTTGCGATCCATACATATAGCCTAGGGTTCATATCACATGCGGTCCGCCACCCCCCCCCCCCCCGTGACTGATGCCGTTGACCATGCATATTCTCCGTGTTACATGTTATTTTAAGATATATTTATCTTGGGCGCAATTGAAATGCATATGTTTGTTTTTAAGGATTAGCATCTAAATTTATGTTAAACGCCGTTTTAATTTAAACCTTTGTATTATATTCTTACCTTGAGAACAGCTGAATGGTCTTGCAGTTTTCGCAGGCTTTTTTATGGGCCAACCCAAAATTATTTAGAAGCCCACTTATTAGTGGGCCTATGAGCAGATCTCCTGTAATTAAGTGCCTAAAAAAGGTAAAGTTTTAAATTCCATTAATACTTAATAGTACCTGCGAAAATTAAAAATACGAAATAAATAATGGTACAAGTAATTATTAATAATGAAACAAATGTACATATTAGTAGATATGAGTGATAACAGATGCAACAAGAGTACGAATGAATATTAAAAAGAATACAAGTATACGTCTATTAATTAGATACGAAGAGATATTACAAAATTATATTATAGAACAAATAGATACGAATGGTTTTTAAATTAAAATTTAAAGACGAAACGGCAATATTTTTACAAGGGGTTATTATTCACCGGCTACCATCCATTATTAACACCAATTAAAAATACTGCGAAATCATCATTATGCTCTGAGGTCGGTGATGACACGATTCCCACAAATCCACTACCCTTTTAGATCCGTCCATTTATGTATTTTATTTTATTTTTAAATTTGGGAAATTATAAAGCTACTGAGGAATTGTTCGTCATCGTCATCATCTTCCTTGACATCAACACCTGGATCTTCCGTTGTTGGTAAGAACACTAAAAAAGCCCTTCATTCATCACTAAACGAAGCCATTATTATCTGTTCCTCAAGTGCTTCGTCCACTTCCCTCAGTGTCCATAAATTTTCACTATAAATACACCCACCATGAATCCAATCGAAACCCACATCGGAAATCGCCAAACAAATTCAGGGTTCGATTCTGATTCACCGAATTCCCCGTAAAAATGGCAGCTTTCTTGAAGTTCCTCTGCGTTCTTGGACTGGTCGTCCTCGTCGGAGTCGCAGACGGCGCCGGGGAATGCGGGAAAACGTCGCCGGACGACGAGGCGATGAAGCTGGCGCCGTGTGCTGCGGCGGCGCAGGACTCCAACGCCGCCGTGCCAGCCGCTTGCTGCGCGCAGGTGAAGAGGTTCGGACAGAACCCAAAGTGTCTCTGCGCCGTTCTTCTTTCGGACACGGCCAAAGCCTCCGGCGTCAGGCCGGAAATCGCCATTTCCATCCCCAAACGCTGTAACTTCGCCAACCGCCCCGTCGGCTACAAGTGTGGACGTAAGCATGCGTTCCTTTAATTGCCTTTGCTTTTAATTGCGTTTACGTTTGCTTTTGTATATGTTGCCGAATTTCTTTAGGAAACTTGTTCATTGATAGGAAGAGTATGAATTCGGCCAAAATTGGGATCCGACCGAAATTACATTAATTGAAATTCAGCATCCGATTGTACGAATATTACAAGAGACAAATTCGAAATGAAATACTTTCAAATCTAGAACATTTGCGTACCTTTTGGAATCACTTAACTAATGCTTTTGGTTTAAAAAAAAAAAGTTTTATACGAGGCGGTGAATAAATATTTTTGTCAACATTCATCAAAATACCAAACGGCTTTTAAAGAGAATTTTAAAAAAAAAACACCAAATGCGAACGCGATCGAGAAAAAAAATGCAACCTTAACTTTGAGCGGTTTTTCTTTTTCTTTTGAAATTGATATTTATATTGTAAATCTTATTTATTTTGGTTACGACTTTTTCAGCATACACACTCCCGTGAAGAAGCTAACACTAGAAGCATGAAGGAGACTGCGAGGATTGGGGCTCTACGGCTCTATGTAACATATTATGAATAATGACATATATATATATATATAAATATTATGTCTGTCAGTTTGATCTCCGAAATATTTGAATAATATAACATCGATTTCACTTTATATATATATAGATATAGCATAATGATAATTCCATAAAGTACTCATCGATCTTCAGTAATACAGAGAACCTGCATAATATCGACAAATAATTAATTAGGAAGAAATATCAGTCATATATATATATATATATATATAAAAGAGATGAAGTTCGTACCTTTCCACCAGTTTCCTCTTGAAACGCACTCTCCATCATCTTCTCCACTGTTGTTTCTGCCCTAAAATTCATCAAACAACAATGGTTTAACCCAACTGAGTTGACGAGTTGATCCCTTGAGACACTTGGACATACTAAGGCATGTTTTTTTAGAGGGATAGCTCACTACAAAAAAATCTCAAATGCAACGTAATAATTTCGTTATCATCGCACCCAAATTTGGATAGTTCAACCGGTGAAAATGGTAGAGACGTTCAGTATCTGTCACGTTCCAAATTTGAATCTTCAAATTTAGAGAGAGACATTCACATGAACTCCTCCAAACCCTAGGATTAGTCTGGCATTCGACCCAAAATTCCCAATTACCCCCCAAAAAAATTGGTATCAAAGAAAAAAAATTGATGCAAATATATTGATAGCGAAAAGACAAAAACAAATCGTCTTTATCCGCCACTATCACTACAAAAAATGCCAAATTTCAACGGGTTTCCAACGGATTGTTAGCAAAGACAGTGTTAAATATAACACTATCTTTGCTAAATTGGAACCGTTGCATTTTCGTTGCAAAATGCAATGAAATGGCAAGATCATTTATTGTCCGGTGAAACGATTTGACAACGAAATCTCATTGTTCAGTTTTGTAATGTAATATTTATTTTCAATGCAAAGATGATCAAATTGTAAGATTGTGGACAAAAAATGGTTACATGTTATATGGTTGGTGATTTAAGATTGCTCCAAACTAAGAAATCGCAAATTGATTATGATTAGGATAGTTTTTAAGGACTGACCACACAAATATTGAATTTTTATTTCCAATCTAGATTTGAATCTCCCATTTGGAAGGGAATATTTTGTTAACGGATGTTATAGGATATTATACGATTACATATTATAGGATGAGTTCAACAATGATGCATAGAGAGAACTATTTGAGACGCATTGCCTCAGTTTCGGCGTAATGGACCACCTCGACGGGACTACCTACCAACTGGAACGTATGATACATATTAGATGTGCATTGACGGGCTTGTCAAGTTATGGATCTATGGATCTATTTCAACTCGACATCAGGAATGCATTCCTTCACGACAATCTTGATGAAACTGTCTACATGCATCAACCACCGGGATTTGCTGATCGAGAAAAGTCGGATCACGTTTGTCTCTTACGTCGATCTCTCTATGACCTAAAGCAGACTCCTCAGGCATGGTTTCAAATATTTGTCGTTTTTGTGCGCATCATCGGGTTCCATCACAACACATTTGATTCCTCCCTTTTTTATTATGCATAAAGACGTGAGAATGACTTTTTTGTTACTCTACGTGGATGATATCATCCTCACGACGTCTTCTCAAACCCTTTTACGTGACATCAACCGGTCTTTAAATGGTGAATTTGAAATGACCGATCTTGGTTCACTACATTACTTCCTTGGAGTACAAATGTCAATCTTAATATGCCACCAACATTCTTCACCAAACCAACTTAGAGTCATGCAATCCATGCATTACACTAGTCGACATCAAATCAAAACTTGCCACCGACGTTGGTAAATCGATTGAAGACCCGATTCTATACTGCAGTCTCGCCGGCGCACTGCACTACTTGACATTTACACGTCCCAATATTTCGTACGTCGTTCAACAAATATGTTTCTTCATGCATGATTCGCGAGAACTGCACATGAATGCCTTGAAACACATCTTACAGTACGTTCGTGGAACCCTAACTCATGGCATTCAACTACGTCGGTCATCTCCTTCGACTCTAACAGCATATTCCGATACTGATTGGGCCGGTTGTCCTGAGACTCGCCGTTCTACATCTGCGCATACCGTGTCTTTCTTGGAGACAATATGGTTTTTTGGTCATCGAAATGACAACACACTGTCTAACATTCTAGTGCCGAAGCTGAATACCGCGGTGTCGCAAATGTGGTGGCAGAATCTTGCTGGCTACGTAACCTATTGTCCGAGCTTCGATCTCCTCTCAAACGCACGACAATGGTCTTCTGTGATAATGTAAGTGTGATGTGGTGTACATGTCGGTGAATCCAATTCAGCATCAACGCACAAAACACATCGCGATTGACATCCATTTTGTCTGAGAAAAAGTCGCGATTGGCCAAATACGGTTTCTACATGTTCCCTCATCATCTCAGTATACGGACATCTTTACTAAAGGACTACCATCGTCGTTGTCCCTTGAATTTCGCTCTAGCTTGAACATTCGACCTCTACCGCTCTGATTGTGGGGTGTGATAGCGGATATTATGGGATATTAGTAGATTACTTATATATGTTATCATCTATGTATTGATTTCCGTATTGCTCTCGTGTGTATATATATGTGATGAATAATAACACAAAACCTTAAAGGGAAAATATACCAAGTTACAATATTCATCCGAATCTGTAACAATAACAAATTCAGACACGATCCTATCGACAATTAAGACACGTGCATGCATACATAAGTACATGTGTATATATATATATATATAGTAACTCTAACATCAACCATACTCGATAAACCGCATTTTTCATTTACCAAACATGACTTCAAACCATATTTTGACGTCGCCAAAACTCGCGTGACACGAGCATGCAGGGATATATGCATATATATATATAAACACACACACACGCACCAAATATATACTCACCGAAGGCAAAACGCCTGAAGCAGAGGCATCGGTACGAGGAAGAGGTAAAATATCTTGGCCGCCATAATATATGGATGAGCTGAGATTGCATGGGTGTTGCATTCTTTGTTCCTCATAAAACCATTTCGTTTCTTTATCCGCCGTTCCTTTGTATTCTCCTTCATTGCTCCCGTACGTATATCCTACAAGACAGTGTATTCACGAAATTTTCTGACTTCATCATATATATATATATGCATATTCTTGACTAATGTAAACAATATATACAAATACTAGATGAAAACGTACTTATACGGTATTATAATGGGTTGTAACTTCTAAGCAAACACGTGACTCTATCCGCCGTACCGTACATCATATGCCATTTAGGGGTAGATTTTCTTATACTTCACAATAATTCATTAGTTTTGGACCGACATTTTGTACGGATTATCACGCCGGCAAAACTTCTAAACGTTTATAACCATATTTCAACCGATATATATATATGTAGAAAAACAAATAAAAAAAAGAAAAAAAAAAGCAAATCCAAAGGAAGACATGATTGAAGAACCAGAGATATGGAAAGTGTCCACACATAGAGAATTAAATTACAAACCCGAATTTGGTGTGTTCTTTTCGACGTATGATTCCTCCTTAGAATACTCCGGCGTCGGAAGATTCCAGTATGGACGAACGGATTCCGTTCCCAAACCCTATGACCATGATCAGCGGCGACAAAAAAAAAAAGAAAGAAAGAAAGAATAGATATCCATAAAAATCAGATGTATTGGAGAATGGTGGTTAATGTTTTCATGGGTTCTCAGGACATCGATCTTTCGGAGGTGGAGTCGATATTCCGTGTGAATCGTGGGCTTACAAACACGTGTACGTGTGTACATATGCACCATATATATGTATATTATGTCGATTCGTGGGGACATTTACAGTCAGCATATCGGATTTTTCCTGAAACCCATTTGTTATCTTGAGCATATGTTCATATTCCACGCAACTAATAGGGAATTGAAGCTCAGCCAACACAGGACGAACAGCGAGAGAGCAATAGGAACTCGAACGAAATAAAGTGACGCCGGAAAAATAAACGAGAGAACCTTATGCGGCGGAGCAAAAAGCGAAGCGAATATTCCGGCAGAGGGAGAGTGGTATTCTCTGGAACCAAACAGCTCAGGAGGTAACTTCGGATACGACGTCGTATCCGCAGCCGCCGGCGAACCTTCCATTCCTCTCTCCACAAAAAAAACCCACCTTTCTTTTCTCTTTTAAAAAGCTAATTAACAGCAGAAATCTTTAAGCACGAAAGAACCCCATGAAACATGTATTTATATATATATATATATACACACGTGGAATTACGTGTGTATATATGTATGTATAGGTATGTATAATATTCGAGGAAATACAGAGCCTTGTGGTGAAACTGAGAAAATTAAGGTTTTAATTAGCGGGATTACCAAAGCAGACAAAATATCGCAGTAAAAATCGAAACTTTAAGCCATTTTTTCATGAAGGAGAAACTCATTTTCTTTTTTCAGAAAGAAATTAATTTGAGACGGAGACGGAAACTCCGATCTCTCCCTCTCTAGTTTCCATCATATTTCGTTTGCTTTTTTGCTTTTGCCGTTTCTGGCTCCAGGACCTCACGCCTTTGTCCGAGAGAATCAGAAGGGTGAGTGCCACGTGGAGAAACATGAGTCATCTGTGGGTCCCACCCAAACATTTGGCTACCACGTGTACGCTTCGTCGGTTACCCTCAATCATGATATTTTGTATCGGATTCGCTACAAAAAAATAAAAATTCCAATATAAAAATTGTAGTACATAGTTATGTGAGTTTGTGAATGCAATGTATAAATCTTTTACAGAATGCTCATGAAACGGAAATATGTGGACCAAACGTTGTTCTTTGCTTATACAAAAGTTTTTTTTTATTCAATTTGTCTTCATCGATAATAACAAAGCTTGATCTAAAATCTAAATTTGAAATTCCTTACCAAAAAAAAAAATCTAAATTCGAAATTATTGAATATAAAAATTTGAATCGAGTAAAAGTAAAGAAATAGAGCTTTTTTTTATTGATTAAAAGTAGCTGTCGTATGAACAAAAGATAGATAAAACGTAAGATAAACACTTTTTATTTTACGCCAAATGTTGGATACTGAAACGAGAATCTATAGATATTATTAATATCATATCCATATTTAAAAAAAAATCTGAAAAGAGGGAGAGAAAATCCTCCGGATCCGACTTCAATCTCTTGTGACTTTTATTTTTTATTCTTATAAATATATTTAAATTTCCCTTGTATTATTTTTTAATTACCTATAACTATGAAAGTGAAAAAAACACGAATATTTTTTCATACACATCACCCTTCAGCATTTACGAAATCGACCAAACCAAATAATTAATTAAAAAATCTACATTTAAAAACTTTTTCTCCAAATATAAAAAGAGAAATACAGCAAAGAATAATATGGGCTTAATATTGGGCCTTAAAGCGTGGTAATATTATATGGGCTTAATATTGGGCCTTAAAAGGCCTAAGATGCATTTCTTTAATTTTGATTTTCACATGTTGCTGTTAGTTATAGGAAATTAAAAAACAATATTTTTTAATCTCAACAGGGAATAGTTTCACCAATGGCTTCGATGATGCAGCTATCCTTGTGGAAAACGCTGTCGTTTTCGTCGTCGTTGTCGTCGCCGGCGAACCGTCTCTCTCTGCCGGCAAAGCTCTCTCACCTCTCTCTCACAACTGCGTCTCCGCCGCGCCGGAAGTTGTCGGTCATCCGTATGGGTGGTGGTCCGAGGACGTTCCCGGGAGGAGTATCGAAGTGGCAGTGGAAGCGGATGCAGGCGAAGAAGCAGAAGCAGCTCCTTAAGGCTCGGCTATGCCGGGAACGTCAGATTTACGAGATGCGGAAGCGCGCTGAGCTTAAGGCGGCTGTCGCCGAGCTCGAGCGACCATGGGAGCCGGTTGAGAAGCCGCCGAATCTGTTCTCTGTCTCCGCCGACGAGCAGGTCAAGGTCCTCGCCGACCGGTTCCAACGCCCCGGCGGATTCGACCTATGGACCGATAGAGACGGGCCGCAGCTGTTCGAGACCGTCGATGACTTACCTTCCGCTAGGTTTTTTCCTAAAGGTGTCGTTCATAGTGTTAAGCCTTATCGCAGTGTCTCGAGCTCTGTTGATTCCGATGCGGAGGGAGAAAAATTTCCGAAAGACGATGGAATTGAAGGCGTTGTTGCGCCGAAGAGTGGCGAGAACAGACGAAACATCAAGCATCGCGGTCGAGGGTTGAGGAAGAGAATTGGGTTCGATATTAGACCGAGGAAGGAAGGAGATACCATTCAGAATCGCGTTAATGGAGACAAACGGAAGAATGGAAGATCTCAGGTATATGATATGGCTCTGCGGAAAGATGGGAGTTATGAATTTGGATCTTAGGATGATACAATTTCTTACTGCAGCAAGTACAAATTCAGCTGCAAGGACTCAGTAGTATACGTCTCTACTGCGTTCATAGTAAACTTGTATGTATTGGGGTATTGGCTTTGTTGATTTCTACTTGTTATATGAACCTTTTGCTGTTGGAATGGTTACTCTTTATTCTGTTGCCGCCCATTCGAGTGTGTTCATCGAATGTTCAATCCAAAATTTGGGGGAATGTTGTCCGTATTCCTCATCGGAGATTGCTTAGAATTTTGGTCGGCAACGTTTTAGCATGTTGGTAATTTGGTAAGTGACCCAGGTATGATGACATGATGTTTGATATTTGTTTAGATGGAGTTGAATTCAGATAAACAGATCCATGACAGGGTCAGTTCATTTGATGGCAAATGTCGGGAGATCGAACTGGAAAGCATTGCCAATGTCCATGATAGTGGACTGGACTACTCCCTTGTGTTTCAGAATCCTGGTATCTGTGTAGGAAGGTGATACTACATCTACTACGGTTTGGTATTAATTGTGAATGAAAGGCAAATTATTTACCAATTTCTTCAGTGGACTGGACAACTCCCTTGTGTTTCAGAATCCTGGTATCTGTGTAGGAAGGTGATACCACATCTGCTACGGTTTGGTATTAATTGTGAATGAAAGGCAAATTATTTACCAATTTCTTCAGAGGTATGCCCTCTGGTCAATTTGATCTCTTTGCACTTGTGATTTAGTGATGATGATGAGTTCCATTAGGATTAGTATAAGAATTCTTGCTTGTGTTGCTGAGATAAACCCTTTTGAGTTTGCTAAATGAAGAATGGGTTTGATGATCTGATTAAGATGTCTGAGGAATTATCGGGGACGGAGAGCTTTGAATTCTTTAGAGTAATATTGGTTTTATTAAAGACCATGGCTTGCAATGCAATCGATCTGCAATACTATACTGCAATGGTAAATGGTACATTTGTCCTGTGAGCTGTTGATGTTGATGTAATATGCACAGTAATCTGCTTAGTGCTCACATCTTATTCCGCAGGAAAATAAGAAGGATGCTTGAAAAGGATGCCAAGAGGAAACAAAGTTCTCTTGGTAACTAACCATATCCAGCTTCTGTTGCAAATATTATTGGGGCATCTCCATATCTGATCTTAAATAACACACTCATGCAAGGTAAGGTCCACACCAGTGACTGTCTTTATCTTTGGGCCACTTTCAGATTCCTGCCACTTGCATTCTTTCCTTAACCCTTATGTTTTGCTAATTCATCAATTCTATCATATGTAATGTGGTTCATTTCTAATACTTGGTTTTATGTGATGAGCAATTAAATATTGACATCCAAAGATGGTTCCTGAAATCCCTTCTATATTTTTAACATTCCTATATGTTCTCATCTGCTAGATGAAGATAAAGGCTGACTCGCCAATTCTAATATTTTTGCTTCTACATCTCTCTGGGAACCTGAACCCGTTTCAAGGAAAATATTATCTGGATTTGTTATTACGACAATCTGATTTAGTATTATCCATGTAAAAACGCATTATCATCTCGGATAGAACTGTATTCTCTTTTATCATGCGACATGACAAATTAGCATGTAACAGGAAAGTGATTTAACATGTGAAGCATCTTCTCTTTTTTACGTCTCTTTTTTCTCTCTTGATTGATAGAAGGCTATACCCGAAAATGTGGATGACAATGAAATGGGTCAAGCCACCAAGTCGGCAAATGGTGCATTCTGATAATCTCATGAATCGTGAGTCATGATATGCTTTCTCACCACTGCTTGGGCGATGTATAATCTTGATATCCCTTGTTAGAGAGGTGAAACCCATACGAAGATTATCTATCTTTGACTGTTGGACCTTCAAGTAGTTTGGTTTAGAGATCTCTTAATGTTATTTACACATATATAATTCAACCTGAGACCATCAGGTCTGCTCTGATCGGTTCAAAATCTTTTTCCTGGAATGCCCACTTGGCAATTTTCGCATCACAGAACTTAATTGTCTTTTATCGTAACTGTTTGTAGTGGATCATCAAGAAATTGTTCCGACAACGATGAAATATAATCGCTCTCATCAATGGTTTGGGCTCAGTCAGGTTTCAGGACTGAAGCTGTGGTGGCTGATGAGACGCTGCCTTCTTTTAATTGATTAATGAACATTCTTCAATACTGTTGTCTTCCGATTCTTTAAGGTAATCTGCTCTGACTCATCAACCATTTGCTTGGGTGCTTCATTTGATTTACGGCTTTTTTCGAGTGATCATGTGTTTTTTGTGACCCACGTCAACTGTTTCAAATAGGGCATAGCATGGATGACACTATTACTGCTTTTAATCGAGAGGTAGCACCTTAAACAGAAGACGTCTTAGTGGAGGTTAGTCCTTTCATATCAAGCTTTTAATTCCTGTATGAGTTATATTATCTTGTTACCCCGTCATGTGAAACCGTTCCTTCTAGTTTGCTTAAATTTGATCTCTTTGACTGTGAGACGGTCGTTTTCAAACAAGTAAAACCGATATTTTACCTAGACTAAGACAAATTCAACAACTTGTTTGTGAAGCTAGAGGAGAATCTCAACAGAACTATCAATGGAATAGTTCGAAAATTGAAGGCGGGTACGCCATCAAAAGAGCACGCAGTTCATATGCTATATTCTTTCTGAGAGTTCTTTCCTGGAAAAGAAAAGGAATTGATCCTTGACAGAGACCTTGTACTTGTAGGAGTCTTGTTGAAGTTGTCTTGTAGAAGCATGCACTATGATAAGTTCACACTTTGCAAACCGTCCTTATAGAAAAATTCTCAGCCGTTTTTTTAGTTTCTTTGACCGAGTGATCTTATTGGTTGGTGGACCTATTTCTAGGCAAAACACGTTTTTTTTGTTAGAATGGTAGAACAAGGGACGCGTCTCTCAGATTGTTCATTGAACAATGAGGTTTTGCGTCTCACACACCGGCTACTAATGTGCTTAGGTTGCTCAATGGGAATCTACTGATAAATGCTTTATGCCTACCCATTTTATATTTTTCATGGTTTCTAAATTGAGCTAAAAACTAACAAAATTTTTTTCTCTCTGTTTTACATTTTTGGTATGGCGTATGAAATGATTCAATCAAATAGTGGTTGCAGCACTATGGGAAAGGTTATCCACTTTCCTCAACCATAGCCACTGAGATCCCATTATGCAAAGATAGGAGTTGACTCCTAATCACATATTTATATTTAATTGCTAATTTGCTATTGGAGTTTATCAACTAATTAAGAGATTTGGCATGATAATACTTGCCTTTGGAAGCAAGCCCACTAAACCGTGACAACTTTTCCTTGGCAATGATCACAAACTAGCCACCCAAATGTCTTAGCCATTGTAAATCCAGCTCAATTCATTTAATCCTTCATTAGATTGCATGACTTGAAGATGCCCTAGCCACACATTTGGACTTATTTGTTCTAGAAAAAAGCCAAATAATTCTGCTTCCTTTTGTTAGTGATGTAGGAGTAGGGGGATGATGATCGTGTAATATATTGCTGTAATAATAGTGGTTAAAACACTAAGCACAGTTAAAACCTTCAGCTTTTGTATTATGTCACACGTTTATTACCTGATACAATTCGATTAAAATATGATTATGCTTAATTTTGACTGTGTTTATTCACATGCCATTGTTTTGGCAGTGGCTAAATTATCCAGTCACATGCAATTAACTAGTGTTTAGATGCATTAATGTTAACTTATCAATGCTTAAATACACGATTTTACTGGTTACTAGCCATTGAAGGTTATCATTGTTGAATCTTAGGTGTAACCAGAAGAGACATGAACTGGTTGCTGCATCATCTGTATAGTGCTTAGAAAAGGTGAGGTAGGTAATCAGAGCGCAAGTTAAATCGAGGATTAATGAGGAAAGATAGACTTTAGTGACTGTAGCTCAGAGATCTGTTTGAATGAGGAGCCTAAGCTGTTGATATAGAGATCAGATCCTGGTTAGTGGCAAGGATTGGTAAAAAGCCTAAGTGACCGTAGGGCTTAGTCCAGTTTATGGATATAGGTTTTGTTGAAAATCTCTCCTACTTTTGAATCCTCTCTCCAAGAATTTAGCCAATGGAAATACTCATGTTGGGTGGTTTCTATTGGATATGGATGGTTCAACCACAGTTGTGTAGCAAAGTTTGGAACTTTTCCGTAGTTTGTCAAAGGAACAAAATTTTAGCTGGTAGTTGGCATGGAGGGTAACACTTCAGAAGAAGAAACAGACCTAAAATGGAACCTTTGCTCTTCTAATATCAAACCCATTTGAAAAAAATTGCTCCTTTCTTTGTTTTTTGTGTGTGTCTAAGAGCATGACCTGCTAAGAGTTAGCTTAGAAGTTAGCCATTCTTTGATTGCCTCTAATGGGATAACTAGGTGAAATCAGCTTTGGGTGGTCGGTGAAACACCCCCCCCTGCGTAGAGAAAAAGAAGTTTAGCACGTGGTTGGATAATGATAAAATCTGAAGTTTTATTCTCTCCATCTCTCTCTCAGACTGATCTGGTAAACTTTCTGTTTCACACTTATGCTTCGGTAGGGATGTCTAAGTCTTTTCTACCTATATGACTTTTTCGTGTTTTTCATGTCTCCATCTCTCTGAGATTTAGTAAATCCTGGTGATTCTCTCCTATGCTTTTGAGTTTTGTGGGTTCAACTTGATGTAGTATAGTGAATTTTAGACTGTGAAAAAGAGCTCCACGTCAACTGAAAAAGGGCAATCTCTACAAACATGATGAGATCTGTACTTAGCAGCTGCCTAGCGAACTCCCCTTTTTTCTCTTCTGTTGATTAATGTTTTTTAATTAGGATTTAATTTCAGCTAAGATCACTAGCTCATCCTGTTAATGCATATTCTCCTAATTATTATCAAGAATTTTTCATGTTTTTTTTCCTCTCTGCATGGCTTGCTATGTGGTGAATTTCTCATTGAATAACTTGCTTTACAGATTACAGAGTATCAATGTAGAATTTAGTGGTAAATGAAAAGTTAAGAGATAAGTCGGCTAAGCCAAGGAGAGATGGAAATCGAGCTTTCGTTTTCCCTCCCTTCATTTTCTTCCCGGAAATCTTTTACGACTCGGGAGGTCCAACCCGTATATGTTTTTTTTTTCTTTTGTCAACCTAATGGGTCCTGATAAGAATATCGTCACTGTACCAAAAAAAGAGTCAACATAGTGGATGCTTTTGCTATATAAGAAGGGTCGTGCCTTCACTTCTCCACCAACAGATCATTTCTTCCATTACTTACAAGAACCATCTCTTCTGTAGTGTTTTTTTGTACTCTTAGGCTCTGACATGGATTGTAAGATTAGTGCAGAGCCTCAAGATTCGTATGATGAGCAAGAGAAATGGGTTTATGATTCTTCTGTGGATAGCAAAGGGAAGGTTCCTCTTAGGGCTAGAACTGGTGCTTGGAAAGCTGCACTCTTCATCATCGGTACGATCTATTTTTCTGGAGATTTTGTTATATTTTAGGTTTCGTTTTCGTAGAATTATCCCATGAATCTTTGTAAGTGTTTATAGTTTTCCCCTCTGCATTCATGCATTCCGAGATGAGAAGATTGTCATGTCATCAAAATCTTTTCTTTGATCTCCTATCTAACTCGTCTCTATTGCTGAATTTCCTAATGTTAGTCCATCTATTTGTTTTCCCTGATGCATCCAAAGATAGCCCGAGCCCTTTTTTTTTCGTTGTAAGAAAAAAAACTAGTTTATCTGCCAAAAATGGAACTGCATATACATCTAGATATGTTCCTTTTTGTGGTTACCATTATTGGTGTGTGGCCAAAGGGAGATAAACCCTGAATTTATATCATTTGACATGAACTAATCTTCAAGAGTTTTCTGTATTTTCTGATAGTCTTGTTCATGTTTTCGTCTTTGCAGCGATCGAGTTCAGTGAAAGGCTGAGTTACTTTGGAATCGCCACTAACCTGATGGTCTACCTGACCACAGTTCTTCACCAAGATCTCAAAATGGCTGTAAAGAATGCAAACTACTGGTCTGGTGTCACAACATTGATGCCACTTCTCGGTGGCTTCGTGGCCGATGCTTATCTTGGCCGATACCTTACCGTCCTATTTTCAGTCGTCATTTACCTCATGGTAATGTTGTTTTCTCATCTAACGTTTTCGGATTTCAGATATAACGCGAACCCGAAGCAGTAATCTTTTGATTGTGTTTTGAATAACAGGGTTTGATCTTGTTAACAATGTCCTGGTTTATCCCTGGCTTGAAACCTTGCGCGTCAAAAATGTGCATCGAACCAAGAAAAGCGCACGAAATAGCGTTTTTCGTTGCCATATACTTGGTCTCGATAGGGACGGGAGGTCACAAGCCATCGCTCGAGAGCTTCGGAGCCGACCAGTTCGACGATGACCATGCCCAGGAAAGAAAGAAAAAGACGTCTTACTTCAACTGGTGGAACTCTGGCTTATGTGCTGGTATTCTTACAGCCGTGACTGTCGTCGTCTACGTGGAAGATCGTGTCGGATGGGGAGTTGCCGGTATCATACTCACCTTAGTCATGGCCTTTTCGCTACTCATATTCCTCGCAGGAAGACCGTTCTACCGTTTCCGAGCACCTTCGGGTAGCCCGTTAACCCCAATGTTACAAGTTCTCGTAGCGGCTATCGCCAAACGAAATCTGCCTTACCCTTCTGATTCTTCTCGGCTTCATGAAGTATCCAAGGCAGAGTATGCCAAAGGCAGACTTCTCTGTCACACCAAGAACCTCCAGTAAGTAGCTCATACCGATTTCCTGTATCGATTTTCTGATCCGGGTTTTGCATTTCTCACCTGTTTTTAGTAGTAACTGAAACATTGAATTGATCTTCTGATCCGGGTTTCAGATTTCTCGCCTGTTTGAGTTGTATCCAGAACATTGACTCGATTTTCTGATCCAAGTTTCGGATTTCTTGCCTGTTTCTAGTAGTACCTGAAACATTGAATCGATTTTCTGATCCGGGTTTCAGGTTTTTCGACAAAGCGGCTATAATCGAGGACAGAGAAGGAAACGGAAATTGTTTTCCTCTGGAGAAGCAGAGTCCATGGAGACTAGCGACGGTGACGAAAGTCGAGGAGGTGAAGCTCATCATCAATATGATTCCGATCTGGCTCTCCACGCTGGCCTTCGGGATCTGCGCCGCTCAAACCACGACATTCTTCATCAAACAAGCTATTGTTCTCGACAGACGCATCATCGGCCACAGCTTCATAGTTCCTCCGGCCTCCATGCTCTGCCTCACCGCCCTTGCCATGATCATCTCCGTCACCATCTACGAGAAAATCCTCGTGCCCATGTTAAGACGGATCACAGGGAACGCAAGGGGAATCAGTATTCTCCAGAGGGTTGGAACCGGTATGATCTTTTCGCTCATCACTATGATCATCGCAGCTCTGGTCGAGAAGAAACGGCTCGACACCACGGCTCGGGGATCCGTCCCGATGAGCGCGATCTGGTTAGCTCCGCAGTTCATAGTAATCGGCGTCGCGGATTCGTACACGCTCGTCGGTCTCCAGGAGTTTTTCTACGATCAAGTTCCAGATTTAATGAGAAGCTTGGGAATAGCGTTCTACCTCAGCGTGATAGGCGCAGCCAGTTTCGCCAATAACCTTCTGATCACCGTCGTTGATCATCTCGGGGAGGATATTTCGGGTAAGAGCTGGTTCGGTAAGGACCTTAACGGGAGTCGCCTGGACCGATTCTATTGGCTAAACAC